CCCTAAAAACCTTGCTACAAGGACCCCAAAATAAGATACCCCTAATTTTCGAAAACCCCCATATCTAGCTTAGACAAGCCAGGAAGTTGAGCAGGACCTCGGGAGACCACTAGGAAATCGGAGGGTAGCGATGGCGCACAGCACGAACATAACCCTGTGGTAAGAATCTTTTGCAGTCCAGAGGCGTAGCTTGCTTACTACCGGTAGCTGGTTGTTTTCAGTCTGTCCGGACTTTGTCCTTCGAGCCACTCGAAATCCGCGCCCTGGAGCCTTCCATCGCCGACGTCGCCTCGAGTCCGAACCGGCTTTCGGCATGCAAAGGTAAGACGCATCGTCGCGGATGGCGGCTACGAGCATCCAAGGGCGAGGCCTGCAGGAATCCACGGAAACTAGTTGTTGCAACCTCTGCATTGATACTATGTGCAAGACCGCAGCTAGCTCGCTATGCCAGATGCAGCAAAGCTCGAAACAACCGTAAGTCTGAGAGCGGCTATAGTATACAAGCTACTTCGAACCCTATTCATGAGGTAGGACCCAGGTATGGGCATATTGATCTGTTTTTGGACCCGTCTTGGAGTGTATTTGCGGTTGTCTGTTCGGGGATACCACTACAGAAAAGATTCAAAAGACCGCTTCATGCAGCTCGAAGGTTTTGGTTCCTCGGTTCGTTAACAACTTGATTTGACATAACCTGGTTCAAGTACAGAGATAGTGGTCCATCTTCAGAGATTCCTAACCTTTATCGCTTCTAGGGAGGTTCCTACATTACCTGCGCCGTACCTGACCCAGGGATGGACCAGAGATTTGGGTCAGCGAAGGCTCAGACGGTCTCCCTGGCGGCAACCAGCTTGAGATGTTGGGGGTTCATACTGTTTTGAGGCTTTAGGGTTCCTTGGATTTTGGAGCGTTTTCTGATTCCAATGCCTTGCATGCGGTTACTACTACTACTACTACTACTACTACTACTACTACTACTACTACTACTACTACTACTACTACTACTACCACTACCACTACTACTACTACTACTACTACTACTACTACTACTACTACTACTGCTACTACTACTACTACTACTACTGCTACCACTGCGGCTACCCCTACCACTACCACCCACGACGACGACGACGACGACGACTACTACTACTACTACCACCACTACTGCTATTACTATGCGTATTAGATTTACTCTTGCTCGTCGTCTGACTCTTGTCATTACCTGTACTGTTACTACTAGTATTGCTATTTCTAATTAATACTATTATATACTACTAGTATTACTATCCTTATGACTATTACGATTAACTGCTGTTGCTACTACTATTACTACTACTCCCACTCCTATTCCTGCTACTACCCTGCTACAACTGCAACGACAACTACTGCTACGATGCTCTTGCTACACTACCGCTTGTTCTGAAGCTAGAACCAGCACCACTGCAACCCGAAACACCCTGCCATGCTATTTATGCATCAAAACACCTGAGTTCTTTGTTGCCTTCGTGAATCCAAGGTTGTACCGAAGAGGCAGGGCATGGCCAGCAAGTTGAATTGAGGGTTCCCAGAGACTCCAATATATTGAATTATAGTAGGATCCCTAATATGATTTAAGGAATATTCCCTAATTAAGGGATATTGGAGTCTCTGGGTTCATGGATGATGAATGCCCCGATCCTCTGATGCCAGGCAGGTAAGGCTGACTTGCATGACAGTCGGCTCCCTTGAAGATCTGGGGTGTGTTTCGCAATCTGACAGGAAGGACTCTCGCGTTCACGTCAGTCTGGGCTGCAAAAAGCAGGTTAATGTTGCGAAGAGCTTACCAATCACCGGGGTATCCCTTGGTTGGGTCGAAGAACTCCGGTAATTTCTTGCCACTCCAGCGCGTCTTTTCCCATACCTCCCGCTACAAGAGATGAAAGGCTGTGTTTGACGGAGATACAAAACAAGTAACGAAATAATTCAGCGACATCGCTAATTTTCCTGAATGCCCAGCCGCCTGGAGGCGACGACCTGAAGCATCGTCACCTCTTCTAGTGACAAGCTCCTCTGAGGATGAGGCCCCCAGGGTTGATGCTGGTGTCGGCCGGTTAGTTGGTTTAACGGTTCTGGGGAGTTCAAGGTTTCAGTCCGGCTTCCGGCCTCGCGGGTTCTGGCTTCCAGGCTAGGGGCGGTTTTGGCCTCAACAGTGCCCGCGTAAAGAACCACTGCAGTTGCTGCGTTTCTCGTACGTAAGTAGCTCGACGATGCAGCCGTACCGCGGCATGAGAAACAACGGCAATCTACACCGCAGCAGGGCGGTGGTAGTTTGGTGCTTCATGGCTGTAACATAGAGAGAGTTCCGAGTATCTAAGTAGTAGTCGTCGTAGTCGGAGTCGTCGTAGTAGTAGTAGTAGTAGTAGTAGTAGTAGTAGTAGTAGTAGTAGTAGTAGTAGTAGTAGTAGTAGTAGTAGTAGTAGTCGTAGTAGCAGCAGCAGCAGCAGCGTCAGTAGTAATCAGTAGTAGCAGTAATTAGTAATCGTAGCGGTCGAAATCCCTTTTTGGTCCGGCTCATCGTGGTCCCTATGAGTGCGAAACCCTGCAAGCCTCAAGTCTTATAAGCCCTGTATTGTGTATATATATATATATATATATGTATGTACTATATATCTATGTATATCTTGGCAATCCAGTTGCAGTGAGAGGTGGTAGCTGCGTAGCCTTTTGCCCGAGTCCTACGTGTGACCTGCAATGCGGTCTCTGACCAGCCAAGCGGGAACCACAATATATATATATATATATATGTATATATATATATATATATATCCTCAGGTCCTAAACCCTATAAGCCGAATGCCAGCTCATAATGTATATATGACATGAGTTTACATCTTTACACAAATATGTCATAGAAACCCCATATATATAATATAATATATATATATATATATATATATATATATATATATACATATACACACGAAACGATGTTGATCAGCATCTCGGGCCCAAGCAGTTAGAGCTGGAAATTTGCCCAGGAAGCTTCCGATTCAGACCCCGAGTGGGCAGCACGCTTCGACTGGCTCCCTCGTACTTGTGCTGGTTGGTATTAAGAACACTAGTCTGTTGTGGGGATCAACAATATCTTCAACCGTTAACAAGAATACACATGTTATTTTTTATGATAAGCCAAAATAGTGGCCATAATGCAAAACAGCTCATATGGTACGAATACCAACAATAATGTTAACGGGAACTGTGCTAGTAACTGCTAGTATCAAGCTTTGGGAGATTCGTAAGCTTCAAGGTTGGTGTCGCTGACGATTTTCCGAGGAAGTTCAGGCAGCCTGAAGTGAAGAAACCCTTCTCCTGCAGCCTTTCGGGTATAGGAAACTCTGGTTGATTTTCGATTGAGGTCGTCAGCCTGACTTCAAACGTTTTGGGGAAGTGATGGCGGCACGGAATCTTGCCAAGGAGAGTGCTGTATCCACCCCAAGAGAGTGGGCTCACGCTCCAAGCGCCAGTTGGCTTGATTCAGATGGAGATGCGATTGTGTAGAACTCAAGTAGATATCCTGGCCGGAAACCTTACTTCGAAGGCAGGCCCCGACTTTTTTCCAACTTGGAGAGAGAAGCCTTTGCTGCATGGAGAACGTGAGATGTAAGGTGTTGGTTGGGCTGGTGGTCTGGGATTGCTGGTTCGAGGTGTGGGGAGTAGCGGGTAGAGAGGGCTTCTGAAACAGCAGTGAGAAGACGGTCCAAAGGGTTGGCCTTGCCAACACAAAAGTCGTATAGTCCAAAAGTAGAAGCTCAAAGGAACCCTACTAGAAGCCAGCTTCAATAGCACCGACCGTCAAAGTACACGGCACCAGAGACCTCGTCAGGCTTGTCCGAGTTGCGAGAGCGTAAAGGAACCCTACCTCCTTTTAAGCGAGGAAGAAAGCCAGAGCAGAGCTGGCTACGCGCGGCTTGTTCGCTGGGAGAGCCAAGCAGCTGAGCTTCCATGGCAGGGTTTAGGGTTAAGGGTTTAGAGTTCTGCTACTTCTTCTACTACCATCACTACTACTGCTGCTATTACTACTAGCCCCATAGGGCAGTTTCCGAGAGTCGGGGACCCTACTACCCTAAGTGACAGGATCCTGTCAAAAGAACCCCAAAACAAGGTACCCCTAATTTTCGAAAACTCCCATAGGGAGACCTTGACTATAAGGGGATTGACCATCAGAACGAGGTGCTTTGATATAGGTATAGTAAAGCAGAGCATACCTCCAAAACCTATTCTAAATATTGTGAGCTCCCAGAACGAAGGGAGCCAAGGATGCATCTAAATCAAAAGCAAGGATCCTCAATTTGCTATGGGGTGTTAGATGGGTTGGGGCGATCGGGGTTTCCAAGCTCCGTTAGCGACCAGATTTAAGGCTTTTGTGCAACCGACCTTGGGGGGGGGCGGAGTTTTGCTGTCGTTACCTAGGGCCGTTCGACAAGCCTTTGCTCGCGAGCCTGCTGCAACGACTTTTTGGCTCGATACAGCTGCAGCCTGCGAAAATTTCGGGTTAAGAGCAGCTGGAATTGTAAACAACCATTGTACAGTACTGTAGAAGCCTAACCCATCACCAACGTTATTCATAGGGTCCCTTGTTATGATTACACTCTTCTAAGTGTCGAGGCCCCTTTATTAGGGCAAGTAGAGCTCAAGGAGTCCCTGCTGAAGGCCTAGGGCGCAGAGCAGGCCTTAAAAGCTTTAAGCATGAGTTGGTTCGGAGCTATTTCGCTTTGATGAGCCGTACGCCAGGGCCGGCATGTGAAGTGTCACGGTTTCTCCTGGAAGGGCCTTAGAATTCCGAGTCCGGAAACTTACGACGCTGTGTAGCATAGAAGCCTGCATAATTACCAAAGTTATTCCGGTGCCTTCCTCCCTGTCACTACGCTATGGCTATAACACACCCCGAAACTCTGTTCCAACGCTTAAGGGCCGTACCGTACCTTTTCACCGAAGTTGTTCGTCGATGCTGGTGCCCACAAGCAATGGACTCCGACCTCGAGGGCGTTAATGCGGAAGTACCACAGGAGCATACGCCAATCGAGGCCAGTGTTTCCCTTCAGGATTAAAGCTTGTGATTTATAGTTGAAGGGTGTTATATGAAGCGTTTATCAGGCTTCGTGATCAATAAGACCACCCCGCGTGGGGAATGCTTGGAACAGTGTGCTACTCAGCTTCGTATGTTTGCTACTGTGGTTTTAGTCTTCCAGACTTGCTGTGGGTGCGGCTCCTTGTATATGTATATTGCACCCATACATACTACTACAGCAGGTTTCTAACAAGGGCCCGGAAGCAGCAATGAAGCCCATTATTGAAAGCAATCCAATACTTGGGTGACGCATCGAAAGTGCTTTGGTGGGGCGTATACCTGTCAGCTACCTCTCCGATGACGGAGTGCGATAGCCTCGTGTGTGGCAGCCTGCGGCAAGTAGATAACCGGTAAATCTGCATATATGTATGAAACTTATTCATTTCGTTAGTTACATGTGTATACATATATCTATATACATGGTTCTTGATATATAAGGCGTAACGAAAGCGCAGCCGCAGAACAAACGGCAGTGCTCTTAGCACCGACAAGATGAGCACACCCGAAGAGAGCCAGAGGTTAAGCACGATCATTTTGGGGTGCAGATCTAGCAGAGGTGTCATATCATATCATACCATACCATAGCATGGAGCAGTGTCCCTTCAGTTAAGAGCAGTGTACCTTCAGTTGAAAACCAATTCTTGAAGCAATCCTGTGCACATGACCTATCATCAGAACTAGGGTGTGAGTTTACACTGGTCACGCATAGGCTCTATTGGTGTGAGCAGAGTTTCGTATTGGTTAGTCTTTGCGGTTGTGGTGCCTTGAGGTGTCCATGTGCGTGTGTCAACAAAGACCACCCCTAAACCCTGAACTTGTAATCCTCTCTTTGCAAACTAAACAGCTTCATACCCATAGGTTCTATTGGTGTGAGCAGAGTAGCCGTCGCCTGGCTAGTTTCGTATTGGTTAGTCTTTGCGGTTGTGGTGCCTTGAGGTGTCCATGTGCGTGTGTCAACAAAGACCACCCCTAAACCCTGAACTTGTAATCCTCTCTTTGCAAACTAAACAGCTTCATACCCATGCGCTTCCAGCCATCAGTGCATGTTCGTTGCCTGAAACAACCCTAAACCCTAAACCGACTCGCTCGCAGGAAAAAGATGCTGCAGACGACATTCCCGAGGAGCGGCGCCTGCCCTGATCGAGTTGCAGTTGGGATGTTAAGGGCGAAGCAGGCACTCTGCGACAAAGAGGCTGATAAAAGAAATTCGTATGCATATATGAATATGTAAATGTGTAGATACATATATATATATATATATATTATGTATGTACGCACACACGTACATATGAGTATATAAGAGTTCAAGACACTGCAACAGTATCATGTTACCCTGTAGCCGAATATGCTATAATGCAGTACGATATGAGATCATGAGGTCATGTAATGTCAATTACAGACTACGGCAACAGAAGTGAACATCATGTTGTTATCAGAAAATCAGCACAAATGCATTGTCATGATTGTATCATAGTCCTTGGTTCCTGATTACTGCACATTACATGGTTCGCAAACAAAAGATAACACGAAATGCATCGTTCTCCGTGTGTCCACTCAATAGACGCTACACTGCACGTTGTGCGAAGATGACGATGCACATGCGTCTACAGCAACGGCTACATATACATATGCATATGCATGCTTGCATACATACGTACATACATGCATACATACATACACATACAGATGCACAAATCTATATACATATGTATATATATATATATATATATGTATATATATATATATACATATGTATATATAGGTGTGTGTGTGTATATACATATATATATATATATATATATATATCGCAGCATGTTTGTATTTACAGTTTCGTGAAAGCCCACCACCTGCGGAGGTACAGTCTGAGTCAGAGGATGACTCCCCCCAAACCGTGCACGTGCTCAACACTGTACAGGAGCAACTCGGCGAATGTCCCCGCCGTTGTACGGCTTTGCTTGCTGAGGCAGAAACTCCAGAGCCACGGTTTCGGGTTTAGGGTTTAGATCAGGCGTCCTTGCAAGCAAGCCTGCAGCAAAAGGGTTTAGATTAGGAATCAAACCCGGTTTCAAACTTGGAGTTGGCATCAAGAGCTGCCTGAGGCGAGCGGCGAACATCTTGACCAAAATGGAGGACGGGCTGGTAGACCGAAGCTTCATCCCAAACCCCAAAGCCGAAGCAGCAGGTTGCAGGCAAACAGGCAACACATTGGCCGCATCATAAGCCTGCAGCACATGAAGTAAAGGACCAAGCTCAGAACACTGACACCGTCAGAGAGGGACAACTCAATACATGATGCTGAAATATTGGCATGGATCGCCCCGAGTTTGAGTTTGTCGACTGCACGTCACGGGCAGAGAGCATCACACACGGGTGTCCGGAGAGCCCCAGACCACAAACTCGACTGGGATCGTTGGTTGTTATACTGCATGCACAGAATTTTCCATAATGCTTCTCATGCATATCGTCGAGTGGTTGCAGCGTATGTACATGCGAAATAGTCCTGCATGCGCATGTGTGCCCTGCCACGACCAAACTTTAGATGTACATGAAGACACTGACCATGCGGCCTCATGCACCATGCTCTTCGCCCATGCTGGCTGAGGTCACTCATCCTGCAATTCTCCGTGGCACCCCCGCCTACAAGGACAGCATGTCCACAGTGCGCTGGTCGTTACAGCTCGACAGCCGGTAAACACATGTCAAGAGCAAACGGCTTTGCAAATCGGAGATCTTGTGTGCTGCGACTGGGGGGGTTGAATGCGGCTGCTGAGATGGACTTTCGCAACAGTTTAGTGGAATCATACTCCCTCCAGTCGGACTGCTCGTAGCAGGTCCTTCGATGCTTCGGAAGAGTCTTACGCAACGACTCGATCGGGCGCGACCTTTTCTGCCACAGTCGTCAAACATGTCTCTCGCTGGCATCTGGCGGCGTATGACAGCAGTGACATCTGACAGCTGCACTAGCCAAGTGGCCGGGAAATCTCAGGTCAGATTCAAGTTTTCGTCTCGCACAACTGGCATGGCAGCGCCTTGCAGCGTGCGGTCTGCAGTTATTCGAACCCTGCGAGATTCCTTGACTTGATGCCAGTATCCGTGTCCATATATAGCTGTATGTGCATGAAGATGAGGGAGAGAGGGAAGGAGGCAGAGATAGAGAGAGAGAGCGAGAGAGGGAGGGAGATAGACTTCAGAGATAGTACAGGCAGGTGTCTGCGACTAAAATCATAGTTAAAGTGTTTTTGTCTATAATAACGTGATGGCAGCACAGCATCCTATGTCAGCACCTTTCGTTGCGATGCGTCTTAGTCTTCCGAGTCGACTCATCTCCTGCATGCGGATGTAGCGGACATGGTTCCATCTGGCACAGTAACTGTAGATTCTGCCGAAGGCAGAAGGGTAGCTGCTCAAGGCTCGCGTCTTAAATGACTGAGCAGCACAGACTCCCATATTGTAGGCCTGTAGGGTTAGGGCTCAGACTTCCTGCACTGCCAGTTCGAGAGAGCCAGCAGATTTTCAACAAACGCTGGGTGTTCCGATAGTTGTTCCACGGTGGGCCGCAAGTGCAGCCCTTCCGCCAGGCTTGACGTGTCGAGTGCCTGGGAGAGCGGGCTTGAGATCCCCCTCCAGATAGCCCCTATAAAATGGGGTAGGGTACCCTCCTTATGAAGCGGTCTTTCTATAAGAAAGAGGGGGGTCACCCCCCCCATTTTATAAGGATTTGGTGGTTCGGCAGAGGTTACCCCCCCCCATTTTATAGACGGTGCTGGTGGTTCGGCAGAGGTTACCCCCCTCCATTTTATAAGGACCTGGTGGCTTGGATTGGTTCGGCAGACCTTACCAGATCCGTCTAGCATCAGTTGCAGGGCCTGTGCTGTAGGTAGCGCATTCCACGAGTATTCGCAACGGGAGATTCCAGTCTAGCTTCGTGACATTCGATGTAGCGAGGCATTTCTGAGGGCGGGGAACAAAATTGAATCCCAGACCGCACAACCAGACTTCGTTTACTTTGGCGTAGATCAACTTGGAAGGTCGAGCCTCTAGGGTGCACTGGTCGGGGACTGCGTGAGCCGGGCCTCTGTGCATCGAAAAAATGGCCCCACTAGTGTAGCCACCTGGAGGAAAGCTCTGGTACCAGGGCCATTTTTTTGCCCCGGCCGCCTGTCGGACGAACATGCGACACTAACATCAGCACATACCACCACATTCCACCTCCCAACAGCAAGCTACCACCACTACCACCACTACCACCACCACCACCACCACCACCACCACCACTACCCCGCTACCACCACCACCACCACCACCACCACCGCTTCTTTGTGCATGTGTGCGGACATGTCAGTGTTCAGTGATGCATTTTTACGATGTCTTACAGTCATGTCACAGTCGTTGTTGTTGATTTGAGCAGCAGCAGCAGCCGCGTTGTGCTGCCGTTTTAGGCTGGGCCGAACACATGTAGGGGGGCTCTGCTTGAGGCTTGTTCCGTGCCATGGCCCGGCGAATCCTGAGTGAAAATGCCATCATGAGGCTTTCACAAGGAGATTTGCTGCAGTGCATGGAAGCTTGGAACATCAACTACGACCCCAAGCAGAGCTTGCTGCGACTGCGGCTGTGCCTGTATGAAGGCATACATGGCATACATCCGCAGGCCTCAGATGAGCGTCCGTTCTGTGACTGGGGGCTGTTGTGGGCCCGATCCATCATGGACGAGCTGCGCGCTCTGGACGAGGATCGCTTTGCAAAGAGCCCTTCATTTGCTCCCGGAAGAGATGGTGTTTGCCGAGTCAAGCATCCGGCTCTGGTTGGCCTGACTTGGCAGGAGGTGCGAGCCAGGTCCACAGCGTACTTCGACAACTCGTCTCGTCGATTCGGAACCCGACGCTTTTTGGACGATATGTTCACGCCTCGCTGTCAAAGATAAAGGGGGACTTGCAATCCGGGCAGCGCAAAGCCTGGCTGGAGTTGCTACAGGGTATAGCTGCTAGTATAGCTTTACATAGCCACAAGGCCATCTAAAGCACTGCAACCGGGGGAACCGTGCTGCACTACCGCGCTCTGGGGAAGAAAACATGACGCTTCGCAGTGCGTGTTGCCTGCACCCGCATCCGTTGATGGCAGTGCTAAGCTACATGTGACTACCACAAACACGGAGTGCGGCACGACTGCCTCTGCCTCCGCCACTACCACGACTACCACCACTACCACCACTACCACCACTACCACCACTACCACCACTACCACCACTACCACCACTGCCACCACTACCACCGCTACCGCCACTACCACCACAACCACCACTACCACCACTACCACCGCTACCACCACTACCACCACTACCACGACTACCACCACTACCACAACTACCACCACTACCACCACCACCATTACCACCACTACCACCACTACCACCACTACCACCATTACCACCACCACCGCCACCACCACCACCACCACCACCGCCACCACCGCTTCTTTCTGCATGTGCGCGGACATGTCAGTGTTCAGTGATGCAGTTGTGCAGTCATGTCACAGTCATGTCGCAGCAGCAGCAGCAACAACAACAACAGCAATCATGGCAGCAGCAGTGCAGGACCAGAAAGCTTTGGACAACTGGGGTGGCAGCAGCGGTGGGGCCTGTTATGGGGCGCAGGGACTGCGTGAGCCGGGCGGGGCTTGATGCCCGAAAACCCACGAAACTTTACATTGGAAAAAAAAATGGCCCCACTAGTACGTCGGCCCCTGCAAATTCCTTGTTAGCAGGGCCATATTCTAGGCTCAATCCGAATGTATAGGCAGACTGTGGGGTTTCAAGCCAGTTCAGATCGCACGGGACCATTCCTCACATAATCAGGTGGTGACAACCACGACCCGTGGCACACACGGAACAACTCCTTTATAAAATGGGGGGGTGACCTCAAAACCCATGCAAAATGGGGTTACCCCCCGTCATTTTATAAGAACTTCCCGGCGCTGTCGAAGGTTACCCCCCCCCCCATTTTATAAAGCCCAATCTGGCCCCGACCCCAAAATATACTATAAAATGGGGGGGGGTAACCCCCCATGGGAACGTGCAGGGGGATGGGCTTGAGGAAGTCTGGATGTGAAGTGTGAGGGCATGTGCACCAAGTGTAGGGTCAAGAGCTTGCATCACCGGCTCCCCTGATGCTGCAGCTCCCATGGTCAACTCAAGTAGGGGCGCTTTGGTTTGAAGTCAGCGGCACAGTAAAGCCTTGTGCTAAGGCCTCTGGACACTCCAGATCCTGAAAGCAAAGCCCTTCTGAGGAAGATCCTGCTACTCCTCATCGTGGAAAGTGGTAGACCAGCCTTGGTCGTTCCCTGACGAAGTCTTTTTCAGAGCTTGACTGTCTGCTTTTGCCGACATTCAGGAAGTGTAATCTGTGCAAGCCCCCACGTTTTTATTCATTTTATGGGCTGCAGCTTCAGGGGAAAATATTTCGGAGGGATCGTTGTGTTACGATATGCAGCTGGCATGTCGTTTAAAGCCGGTTTTGGGGCTTATTGTGCTTCAACTCGAATCCAGATGGTGTTGCGTTGAAGCACGTTTTACTTTTGTGGGCTCTGGTGTTCGTCGGAGTTTTCATCGATGCAGTTGAATACGGGATCTGCCTCAGGGTTCTATATTTTGCTTATGGATTTAGACAGGTTCTACTGCTTCTATCCTTACACCCGTCCGCACTCAATGGCAAGGCTGGGCTTATTGCCGCAACGCTTGCTGCAATCGTGCAGCATCTCGCGGGTATTGCGACAGAGGCCTGGCATTGGCACTAGCTTAGGCTGTCGTTACCCATCCGAGGTTTCAAGGCTTTCAAAGTTGTGCATCTGTCTTTGAATGCTGGGATCGTTGGCCGGCAGATTGTGGTCACACGCCAAACAGAGGTTTCCGCTTCTGTTTAGAATTTAGAAGTATTGGCAATACCTTGTTAAACAGCGCATGCTCGCACTGTCATGGTTGTACTGTACCACGGCACTGCAATTTGCACTTGTTGCACCGTGTATTTCGGCAACGATGTGCGGCTGCATGAGCTTTTGTGTTGGTCAATACCTTCTTGTTAAGGTGCTTGTTGCTTCCTTCCTGAGTGATCCTGATGATCGTAAGTAAGTTGCGAAACTCTTGTTCTGACGTGTGCTGAAAATGCACAAGACATGTCGTGATGATGTTGATGACATTTCCTTGCAATCGCAAGAATAGGCAAGGGGGCACTAGGATTGCAGAAAGTGTGCGATGCTCGGACAAACACGCGCCGGAACAGCGGCTTAGGATCTCACCCAAGTGCATATACAGCTGTTTATAAGTGAACGCATCGACTGGCGCTCTTCCCATTCATGTTCAACTCTGCCATGGAATACTCAGAGTTCCCCTGCCCCTCCTTCCGATGCCAGCCTCGAACTCCCGGCGCCGCCCTGCGCCTTGTCTTTTTGTCGATCAGGCTTTAAAGGGAACTCCAGAAAGTTGGAATATGGTTTCAGGGCAGGATACCTTATAACTTACCATAAAGGGTTTAGGATAACCATATTCCAACTTTCTGGCTTTTACCTTACAGCTTGGGTTAATTGAGCCTGCAATCATCTTGACGGAGGCCGACACGCAGGGTGTGGTCTGGCTTTAGACGAGTCCAGCAATTAGCACAAAAAGGTAGCAGTAATAGTAATAGTAATAGTAGTAGCAGTAGTAGTAGTAGTAGTAGTAGTAGTAGTTCCTAGTGCTTCTTGGCAATGAGGCAGTGAGTCTGGATGCAATACGATGTAGACCAAGGCACAGCTCGCGGGCGCATGCGGGCTTTGCGAGGGATAGCATGCCGTGATGATGTTCCTCGCAAGGGACGGTGCCAATCAATATGACACTTGCCGGGGTGTTTTCACAAGAGCACTCTTTAGGATACTGCACAGCAATCATATAATCACTTTTGGAGTGATCCTAAGGCGGCGGATGATTGCGAGAAATGTTTACTCATGCTTCGTAGCCCGCTGTTCCTGGAGAACGGAAGCTGCTACCGCCACTGTTCCAACTGCCCTGCAATATTTCTGCCAAGGTTCAGCCTCATAAGTGGTTTGTTGGCTTCCACCGCGGTCTGGCGGCATTGGGCACTTTGCAAGGAAGCACGTCTCTATCTTGCCAGTCTGATTTGCTACGAACGCGTTCCGGTATGTGGCTTGAGGGCGCAGGCATCTTGATCGCGCTTGCTGCAGCCTTCGGCTTGGAAATTAGTACTGTAGGGGCCTAGGCACCGGATTGAACGCCAAGTCTTCTCGAGCCCATAACCCCTTGAAGGTGACTTTCTTTCTGTGGCGTCCGCATCACCTGGTGTTCCTGGATCGCATTTGCATTTCTCAGACGGAGACTCGGCCCCAATCGGACCCGATGTGCTCGCGGAAGGCTGGGGCATGACTAACAGTCCAGCCTTTTAGGTGTGAACGCGACACCCCAGCCAACGAACACAAGAAGAAAGCAACAGAAAGCGACAACGAACCCACACAGACACACACACACACACTCACAGTATTGCAGTTGCTTTGCTGCTGTGTTTTATTCTTGAACCACGAAACAAGAGGTCCGGCCACCCCGCTGCCCCATGCCAGAAGGTTTGTTTTCTTGTTTTGCTCGTGTTGGCTGTGTCTTCTAATCTCGTCCTGTATTTCCAGAGTTTAGAGGGTCTGCGTCTTCTTGACTAGTTATAGATAAGACAGGTTGTTGGCTCCAGGGCCATAGCCTTGGGCGTACTGGTGGTGCCATGAGGTGATGCCCCGACGTACCCAACCGAGCTGACTTTGTTTGCGGACCCTTGTGCTCAGGACCGTCGGCTTAAAGGAAACGGTCTTCTGAACATGGGGGCCATCCTTCGGCATTCGAGTTCAATGCTGGCACCTCGCTTAGATCACGAGCATGTCTCACAAGGTTTTTACAAGGTTTTGGGAAGGCTTGGCACAAGAGGTGACATCATCATTGGTTGCTTGCGGCTCGATGCAAGTGCCTGCGCTACAGCTGCCCATGCCCTTCCGAACTTGCCCCGTTTAGCTCGGATTCGATGCCCTGGTTGAGGTATGTTGGGACGCGACGTACATGGAAAGGCGCGCGTAAATTAGATGTTGAGTTGCTTGTGTTCAGTATAGCATGGCGTAGTGCCACAGGGTATACAGGTGTGTGGATTGGATTCCTGAGGTGGCTGGTCAGAGCCCCCAAACCATAAGCCCTGATCAGAGTGACAGACTAGACAGTCGAAAGGATCCCAAAGTCTCACTGGCGCAAAGGTTCAGGAGTTGTGGCTATGGCAAGGGATTTTCAGGATTTAACAGTATCGCCAGGTGGTGGAAGGTTTAGCATGGTGTGAAAAGGGTTTGGAGTATTTACCTGGAGGCTTTTTCTTTTTTGCTGATGTACGGAAATGGGCGAACATGAGCAGCTCGGTACAGGGCGGCAGAACCTTGAGCCATTGAGCGCTCCAACTGCAGCCCTAGAGATCCGGAGGCTTTGGTGCGCGTTCGAGCTTGCGGCATTTCTCTTCAGCCATGGTGAGGAGGTGCATGGATAAGTTTCGGGCTTAGGTTTCCAGGGTTCTAGACTTTGGGCTTCAGTTGGCGAAGGTCGGGAGGATGTGCCACCCACTCAGTACAGTGCCGTCAGCATGTGGCTTGGGTTCGTGTCCCTCCTTAGCTTCACGTGACGGTTTCGAAGTGATCCATCTCGAGACCGCCAGCCCATCCCCATGTCCTCAGACTGCCGCTGCAGTGGTGCAACAGATCACTGGCGTCCCACCCTCGGACCCTCGTTTCAGACCGAAGCAGAACACAAATCTCCTAGTCACACCCTGCGGAGACCTGGAACATGTTTGTAATAATCACACGCGCGCATCAGGTAAAATTGCTGTATTGCAGTACGCATCATGGCCATCCACCAGCATCGATGTTCAACCGCATCATAGTCATAATTTCCTTCTCCCATTCTCCCACTAGTTATCAGTCGTGAGTCGGGAGTTGTCATTATATTAAACATGGGTTTGCCTATGCTTGGCAGTATGTGGTCATCCTCCATGTAGGTATTCTGTGGCTTAGACCTTACATCGTCAATCCTTCCCTAGCGTGGAAAATCCTAAGAGTTCGCGAACCGCATTGGCGTGGAGAGACTGCCTTCGTTTCTACAATCCCGGAGGCGAACCTTTACATTCGGCCAACTCACCTCGGTCGCTTGACCGGCAAGTTCAGCAAATCATAGGAGGCCAACAGGGGTTTTAGCCTATGGGGTTTAGTAGGGATTAGGGTTCCCATAATAGGGTTCATATTAAGGAATCCCTACCTCAAGAATCTTAAACCCCCCTTTTGGCCTCCCATCAGCTTACATGGCAGAGGCACGATGCTTTGTGAAGCTCCAGCGGGCCTGAGTCACACTGGTGAAAGACAAGGGGCCCTCGAATGAGTGTACTTTCCCCACTCAAGCAGAAGACGCTGTCAAGCTGCCTGGGCCATGAGTCGGGGCATGCTTCATTTGCCTTTACATACCACAAATCTCTACAGCTTTCGTGCATTCAAGCAGGCATGTGCTGACATTGGCACTACTGCAGCCTAATCGGGACATGGATTTTTTCTCAGATCGGACGCATTGCGTTGATTTGAATCTTCTTTGTTTTCAAATCCCCAAATTGATCTCCGGTCGCTGAGACCGCGCACCTAGAGGCTTGTTCCTTTCATGACTTGGCGGAGCACTCATTTGCTAGGGCGCCGCGCGGATCGACCACACACATTTTCAGACGAATCCTATAGGATTGCGGCAATAGTTTGTTTTCGAACGGAGTTTACAAGATCTGTTTGGACCGAAGTGGTTTTCAAAAATTAATAGTCTATCACCAAGTAACGTGACCCGAGTAGACCCGCCCTTCTCCTGCACATCCTTCATCCCGGACTCATCCCCCCAAAAGCCTAAATCAGCATGAACCATTCTAATGCCTCCAGAGAGCCGGCTTCAGAAAAAGCAGGACCCAACACATACCTTCAATGTCAGGATGTCTGCAATCAAGACCCGCAACCAGGACCTCTGAGCTAATGGAACCCCCAAACCGCATATGAACATCATAAACGATCACATCATCGATGAAAATGCAGGTGCTTATAAGGCAACTTTTCTTTTTTCTCGAGGCTTGAGCATGGTCGTGCTGTATCTCAGCCTTTGGGGAACCATGCTGGGAGTTGACCCTTGGATTCGAAATTGCCTGTATCTTGGAGGCTGTATACAAGTGGTTGCAATGGGTTTTTCAGGTCCTGGGCTCAGGCTGTGTAGGAATCTGTTCAGAACCTGCGTTTCAGGAGTTCTTTGCTTGCTTCTTGATGTCTTTCTGCGTTCCGTGCGGGCGCTCCGTGCTTTGCAGCCGGTGCAAACTCAGCAAAACTAGGAATTCCCAAGGCCACATGCAAGCGAAGCCGGCAGGAGGTTCCGATGTGCTCGAAAGCCAGGAAGTCTTGTGCCAAGCCCAGAACCCAACCCTCTAGCAGCTAACATTGTCCTGCTGTCAAAGCTGCCATCTCCAACCCAACCCTCAGCTTCGAATCTCAAGGGAGGGGTAAGCACCGCGGTCCAAGGATCTATTTGCACCTGGAGCCAACTCCTGGCTCTGGTTCCTGCTCGTTCTTTGCCCCTTGTCGGGGATGCAGTGTCTTAGCTTTCGGATAGGGGGGTTAATCGGCTGTAACCGAATTTTGAAGGGTTCAGTCAGCCAACACCTCAATCTTGCGACTGAGCTGAATGCCTGACGAAGTAATACTACAATCAAAGAGGGACTGTTACTTGCAGGGGGTTACAGGATTTGACTTGCGAAGTAGGGCGAGCTCAGGCGTCCTTTGCATCATTGGATTCTATTTTGTGGTGGACACATTCCGCACCTTGCCGGCAGATTGTTCTATGGAAACTTAGGAAGAGCTTGAGGCATGCTTGGCCGCCTTATGAGTAGCCATGCGGCAGGCTGGCCAGAGTCTTGAACATGCAAGGTTGCCTTGCCCTGTACCAAAGCAATGTCGCTATCTCACAGACCGGGTGTGAATCCGTCGTGCCTGTGGAAACAAGTCTTCGAGGCATCTGTTGCTGCGCGCTTCACTCGGCGGTTTGATAGCTCAGTGGCCCTTCACAGGGGGTCGGCGCTGCACAAAATTGCAGTGGAAGGGCTTCAGGGGCAAAGAAGGTGTGGAGGCTGGCTTGGCGAGCTTCCGCATAAATCAGTATAGTATAGTACTGTATGACAAGATAAAGGGCAGACTCGGCGCCTTAGCCCACGAATTGTCTCCTGCAGTACAAGCCTGCAGAGCCCCAGCCGGATCATCGTCTCGGCAACCTGGCCTGCTGTCAAAGGTAACTACTTGGCATCTGTGCAGAATTTGCAGGAGAAGCTGAGCAGGCGGGATTTCTACAGCATCCAGCGCCCAAGGAGCCGAAAACCTAAGACTCACACTGTTGCCTTTGCTCAGAAAAGTACAAAAAGGGAGGGTGGTTCTCGCAAAGATGGTGATCATCATTATGATGATGGTGATGACCATGGTGAGGATGACGAAGATGACTAGTTTAACTTCAACACGAAGAAGAAGATGGTGATGATGACGTGGATATTCGTTTTCGGCTGACGAGCAACACGACGGCACAAGTCATTGACTGTAATGACGATGATTGAGTAGTGGCTGTGCTGTTGCCACTGTGGCCCCTGCTGCTGTCCACCAAGCTATTGGTTTCACTTGCTGTTCGTTTCTCGCTGCGGCTGTTGCTTGGCCTCTGGATTTCTTTATCGAGAGTGCTGTGTGATGCTTCACTGTTGGAGCATTTTGCTGGAGTGTCGGGCAGTCCAATGTCCGAAGCAGGAGCATGCATAGAATGTCATCGATCTCGATACTTTGAAAACCCTGCCAAATCATGATGCCGTGTTACAACGAGACGACAAAGTCGGCACGATGCACTGACTAAGTTACGAATCAGCTTTCTTCGAACACACCGACACGGACGCGAGCTTTGCTTTTGGAATAACCGGGCTGTTCAATTCTGGAGCCAAATCTCAAAGCTGCCACAGGCTTTTCTTCGAGTGAGTGAACTATCAGGGATCTACAGAGATTGACACGGGATCTGTAGAAGTTTATACGGTATCTATATGGATTGACAGCGGATCCTCAGGCCCAAATCCACCCTTTTGTCAGGTTCGCTTTTGCAGACACACGCTGCCATTGCTGTGACCTGGCTGCAGCTGCGAGTCGGTCGTGACGCCTCCGGAAAGAAACATTTCGAGGCTGCACATTTTATATTCTGCTTTAAGTATTATTATACTATATACTCTTTTTCACATATTAGATACGTATATGTAGTCAAAGTGTTGTAACATGATTTGTGGTGGCGGAATGTGGGGTCTCACAGGATACGCTTTAGGGTCTATCGGGCTTCAGTTTCGCGGTACTTAGGGTTTCGGGTCCTGCCGATTTCACCACACACACACTCTCGTGTTCTTTCGAAGTCGGCCGTAGGACTTGCGTTAATTGCATTTCTCTGTGCCGCAAGCATTACATGCATGCGGGTGCCAAGCATGAAAACGCTTCAAGATGCGCGAAGAGTCAGAGGTGGAACTAGATCCGATACAGCAAAGTTAAAGCCTTTCAAAACAGTCAGATGTTTGGAGTCAGCATTGGGGATTCTTTCTTTGCTTGCTTGTTCCTATGGAGAGCCAGATGTGCTTGTTGTCGCCCCACGCACGTATCAGGTCATGAGCCGCCTCAAAAGTTTCCTTTTCACGCTAGCCTCGCGATACGGATAGCTCCAAGAAACTTACAAACATACATACAGACCTGCAGCCGTGCATGTGCATTTACATGCACACATGTGCATACATGTGTAGTAACATATATTCATATGTACATGCCACTGCAAATAGATGGTAGTGATATATCTATATATCTATATATATATGAGAATGAAAACTTCTGTCTGAATAATACGTCACGACGTCCTGTCTGTGATGGTCCATGTCAGCGACATGCTCTGCTTTGCGCGTTCACACCAACTGAAGGTGGATCTACTTTCACCCATTTTTGCACAGGCGCATTTTACAATGCTGAAAGAGTGACGGCTGTTCTGCGAGATGAGGTTCAGTCAACCATCTCCGTCGAGATGGCACGAAGATCCTTTTCGAGAAGTTGGTCTTACAGCTGGGGTTCAGAGTTCAAGGTCGTAGGATTTACGGTGGTCATGACGGATGGCTTCAAGTGTCCCGGCGTAGATGTACGAGTCCAGGTCCAGGTGGCAGCATGAAGGGTCTTAGTCAGACTGGTCCTTTCCGACTGGATAACGACCGCCTGAATGAGGGATAGCAGTAATTACTCAGTTTAATTGGCACACTGACATGCAGTCGCACTTTCACCAGGAACCAGGGTAAGAACCGGAATACCAGTGTCGTTCTGCACGGTGGCAAGAGAGCCCGGCTGAGGATGCTTTGCGACCGGGAAATCCTTCAAAAGTGCATTCGCAGCTGGCCACCCGGCGAGAGAACGGTTGCTTCATGTTCATGTCCGGTGCGTGTAGAAGACTGCAGGCTTAAAGCACGAACTTTTTGGCTTCACAACTTTCTTGCAGCACTGAGCCTTGAGCTTTTTCCAGCGGCTGCCGCTTGGCTTTTCAGCAAATGCGGAGCCTATTGTAGAATCCTCAGCAATAGGATCCTTACCACAAGCACCCCTGAATAAGGTGCCCCTAGCTTTCAGAAACATCTAAATGTGATTGAATCCTGCTCTCAGGTTCGGATCTATTGACAATTTCGACAAGTCCGTTCAGTCGTCGGTATCTGCAGCCTTTCGGAAACAGCTTGGCAGGAATACGCTGCCATACCTATGGATGCCCGGCTACCATTATATAGATTGTACATGGCCTACTGCAGGTAGACGTATCTTGTCAAAGCCCTCACTTCTTTGGCATGACCCGTGTATTAGAACTATTCTCTGTGCAGTGGCTACGGCTAGGGCGGCTTGGGTTCACGCTTGCGATTAAATTCCGGTTGAGTCGAACCCGTTTCCACCTCTGAGACTATTGGTAGCAACCTGTCAACACTTTTAGGTTTAAGGAATTTTCTTGAGTTGGCAAGGCCAGGTGCTCCAATGAAAGTCAGATTCGGCAGGAGACAGGAGACTTCATCCGCTTTGAGTACCGGGGTGCGAAAACCATGGTCGTACCCGACAGCACTCGTTACTAATACTGTCGCCGGTACCGTTGCGAAATGTTGCGAACATAGAGAGGCATTTCGGAACTGAGTTTTTGTTTGTCGCGTTGCTATTTCTTGAAGGCAGACCCTCGACCTAGCAGACGACGCCGGCGAGAATTCACACAGACCTTAAACCGCCCCAAGTAATCGGATCGTTGTTTTGAAGATGAAGTGCGGTGGATCTCAGGATGCTCGGCGTTGGGTCGCCGATTCTCTGGGCTCTGCTGAGCATCGTCGTCCAAGAGCTGCTTATTGGGGAGCCTGGGATGCAAGAGCTGCTGGTTGCTGCAGATTCAGATTGGGGTGTTCGGGTAAGAGTTTTGGGTTCTACCCCGGCAGTTGCACAAGTCCTAACGCAGTGTATACAAGGAGACTAGTAGACGCACTTGTTGATCCAGCCTGCCTCATTTCTCAGGATTACACCCTCTTCGTGAGAGACACCGTCTATTTACTGGCATATTGGCTCCTGGCGCTTCCTTTGATCCTGGCCGTGACGCATTCTTGCAGCATACAACGTTCCAGTCCGTTCCAGCTTTTGCCCGCTCCATCCCTAAACTCTGAACCCGGAACCCTCAGTAAAGTTGACTCTAGTGAGCCTACCTAGAACGTCGCTGCGAACCAAGAACCTCGTCTGGCTTTGTTCCGAGTTGCGAGAGCGTAATTTGAGTTTATATACAAACGAAACCACCCCAAACCGTAGCTACCCAGAGACCCCAAAGTAGTTCCTTTTTGGGGTTCGTATATAGAATCCTATAACTACTTTGGGGCCTCTGGGTACCCTAGTTTGAACCTTTTCGCCATGGTGGAGGTCCGGCAGGTTCAGGTGCCAGGATCCCGAAGCTAGCGGCCGATGCTCCGCTCCTTTCCGTGTCTTGTTATCCTGCGGCTTACGGAGCCTGTGCACTGCTTGTAATAATACTTACCTGTGGTTAGTAGGGAATGGAAGAATGGTAGTAATAGTAGTTGTAAGTTATAATTGTACCCCATTCCTCCATGCCCTACTAACCAAAGGTAAGAATATGGCTCCGACGCAATGAGAACGCGCAAAGCGCACAAGCCTTTTATTTCGAACGCTACTACGGTGTTTAAAGGGTGATGTACCAAATCGAAGCTTTCTGTTGCCGAAATTCCATTCGTCCGAAAACACCGGCGGCATGCATCGTCGTGCACACCATCACTCGAGTTTTCACACATCCCCGCAGGTGCATGAAATCATTGGCATCTATAATGCATTTGCGTGAATGCAACACGTTTCGAAACATGTGCAGACGTCGAAAGCATTGATCTTTTTACAAATGCTTTCTGCGATTGTTGCACTTGTTTCATCGAAATGCTCCTTAGGAGTTCCGTTCCTGCGCGCTCTGTCGTCGCGCAACGATTCCTTTAGGACATTAGGACATCATCATGGTTGGGCCATGGATGCTGTGGTCCCATGGACGTCATCAAGGTTGGGCAGTTGGGCCTTGGATGCCATGCGGAAAGGGGGAAGCCCAGGAAGTACCGCAACATTCCGGTATTTTCGGCACTTCTGTTTTTGACATGTGCAAAAAGTGTCAATCGGAGGTGTGCGGTGTACTGCGGGAGCATACTGTCCGTTATTTCGACCACGGCAAACGCTGCAAGACCATAAGTAGCAATACTTACCGTAATAATAATGAGCTCCAAGCCCTGCGAAAAGACAGGTTCAAGCTGGTATTCTGCATGCGGAAACGCCGCGGCTGCATTGTCGACTTTTTCTTGAGTCTTGGCTTCTAAGCTTTCAGCTCTTCAACTTCCAGACCGTCTCTGAGCGTTTCGGGCCCTGAAACCGAATCCCTTGAAGGTTCACCTCAAGCTTGTGTGGGGTGTCTCCACAGGAGTGTTGCGAGATGACCTGTCTCATGCACCAGTATAAACTGGAGAAACAGAGAATGCTAAAGCAGATAGCATGTCATGACTTACGACTAACTTCGACACGCGAGATGCTCAAGGCCCACTGCCAGACGAGCATAAGTATCGCAGCCATGAAAGTCTTAAATCTGAAATCCGCACTCCGTTCCAAAGGGGAGCGTCCGGCAGGGTTGAAGAAACCGGGACCCAAGGACCTCGGTCCTCATACTTCTGAGCCTGCAAAGTCCCCACAACTTCCAAAGGCACCCCAGTTTTTCACGGCTTAGAGCCGAAACACAAACCTTAACATCCCGTAACATCCTTAAATCCAGACCTGAAGCCCGACGTGACTGTTTGCGGCCATGCTGTATCGGGGCTTGAAATAGTACGCGTAACATGTGCCAGCGCGGCTTAGCTTTTTACGGAGACTACTCCACTCCAATTCCTGCATGCTTATCAGGCGGCCCAAGAAAATGTTGCAACTGGGACTTTTGGGATGGACCCGCTCTCCAGGGTTTTACCCCGAGCCTTTGTATTCCTTCACGGCTTGCCTCAGGCTTCATAATGCCTTAACCCGCCTGCAGCGCTCATGCTTGCCACCGTTTCGATGGGGTCCGGGGTCAAATGCAAGATGATGCTACACAGTTCAACTGTCGAAGCTGCCGGGTGGGTTCTCGGGATCTCAGCGGCATGCGATCAGGAACAGCTTCTGCGTGCTGGTCATTTTGGTGATGTTTGCGGCAGTCGATCCTCTCCATTGCAATCCACGCGCCTGCTGGGATAGGGTCTACTCAGGGCGTGTACTAATTTCTTTGTGTAGCTGATAAACCAGAGGTATATAACACTCCATGCACATCTCATACTGTTGCCTGTGCCAGAGTACATACATGATTAGGGTCCTGGGGCATCTTCAACAAAGACACGGGAGTTTCCGAAAAGAAGGGGTGCCTTATTTCGGGGTCCTTATAATAAGGATTCTACTATTTAGGGTACTATATTAGGGTCCCCTATTTTCGGAAAATCCCACACCTAGGAGCTCACTTTGTTGGAGCCTGGCAGCAGTCCTGGCCTAGTTGATCCGACTCGCACTCGGAAGCCGAAAGCTGGTCTCGATGAGCCGGTGCAATTATGCTGCTTCATGTCGGGCGGTTGTCAACATTAGGGACCCTTTTTGGGTCCTTATTATAATGCGGCACCTAATATTTAGAGTACCCAAAAAAGGGACCATATTTTTGACAACGCGAACGAAGACTTCGGGGTGAGTTGGGCACCGAGTTTTCGATGCACTGCCGGCATCGTCCTAGCCAGGCGAGAGAGTGGCGTGTTAACAGTGTAAACTCGATTATAGGTCCGAAACTCAAAAAGGCCCAAACTACCTCCGAGTGTGAGAGTCCAAGTTACCTCGACTATGGCGGGCTCTAAGATCCAACCTGCCAGCAGGCCAGCAGTGCTAAACCCGAAACCTACAGAGCCCTGTGCCAGTCTACGAGTCGAAACCTACGGAGGCTTAAACCTTCAACAGCAACTCCCCTTGCGATTACGAGGTTGGGCATGTGATTTCGGGATCAGCAACATGTACTTACTTGCCCCTCCCCGGCCGAGCATCCTGCAACTCCTTTCTCCTTTCTTCGTCCCTAGACCCTACACCCTCTGTTAAGGACATGTCCAATGTGATGATCAAGAACCTGCTCGGTGCCACCTCGCTAGCAGAGGACGGGAGTCGCCTTTACCTTCTGCATGTACCGTTCAGAGTTGTCCTTTCTGTCTTGATAGATTGAGTTTGACTTCAAGTTCGGGTTTGTATCAGTCTCACGGACAGGCAGACAATGACAGGAATAAATGATAAAGCAAACAGGGGAAACATCATTTCATTTTTTAAAGGCCATGTGTGAGAAAACGACTGTCATGCGTCGTGTACAGCTAGCTGCAGCTAGCTGACTGCGACCGATCCTGCGACCCCACTATCTCCGCCTCTCGAGAAGTGGCCTTAGACTGTTCAGGATATCGTCGAGGTGCTTCATGAGCTGGTCTGGGCGGTGCTGCTGCTGCTAGGTGTTTTGTGTCTCTGGCGCCGTTCTATCGTCGAATGGCTCACAGTAGATTCGGTCAGAGAGACCCCTGCGACTTTGCCTACCGTCTCGGCCGTCGGCAGTGGCCAAGGCCACGTCATCTTTTGA